AAGGTTCTCACACGTAGCTCGGTGATGTGTTTAATTCCTCCAAGAATCTTCCTTTGAAGAGAAGAGAGTGGTCATTCAAAGCCACAAATAAATTTAGCACATTCACAATTACCTACCGATGGGTGTTCATGGTGGCAGTGTTGCTATGTGCTAATAGAGTGCATTTTTCTTAAAATATTACCAGCAATGTAAAATGTAGTTTTTTTCTCTTTTACCCTTTCATGGTTTTTCTAATTGTTGTTAAAAAAAAATAAAAAACAAGAAAAAAACAAAAAACCCCAAAACATCTAATAGGAGATCTGCTCTCTCATCAAGCTCTTCAAATGCTACAATACAGCGTCGTTAACTCTGAGCACGATTGTTGTACAGCCGGGCTCTGGAACTTTGTCTGCAACTCTGTTCACTGAACAGCAACTCCCCTTTCCCTCACGATGGATCCCTTTCATTTTTATCCACAAAGCTCAGGAATGATGGGAGCCAAGAGGGAGGCATATAATCCCCAAATTGCTTCAATTTGTATCCAGCCTGCTTGGCATCGCTCCTGACTCCAGTTGCGCTCTTACCCTGGGTGATTTAAAGATAAAGATTAATGTTTATTTAGCAGTTATGCGCCTGTGCTAAGCTCTTTGAATCATTATCTCATTTAATCCTCTCAACACCATTGTGGGTTAGATACAATTATTATCTCCTCTTTTTTTTTTTTATAGATGAGGTAAGAGACTTGGAAAAAAATGAGTAATATCCTCATGTTTACACACAAAGTAGTAGACTGAGGATTTGAACTTAAGCCACCTGCCCCCAGAACCTATAGCATTAATAACTCTCCTAAACCATATTTGAAATACCCTTTTCCCCTTCCAGTACACACATACACCCCCACTGCAGATCTTACGTCAGGAAAAGCTGGATAAAGAATCGAAGCAAAAGCAAAATAGGACAAAAGTCTCCAATGGAAACTCTTCCCCGTTCATATTGTCCAAATCGCACAAATGCAGAATGCACAGACATCTGAAGGCATCCCCGAAGGTTTTATACTTACATACCAGTAACTAAAAATTAAGGGGCGGGGGTTGTACATTTCTTTGTTTCAGTAGAAGCAAACTATCATAACTTCATAAGAGTCACCTGCCTAGTTCATAAATTCAGTCCCCAGACATATTTAATTTGGGTACAATTTAAAAAAAATCTAATTTTAGATGTTTTAAGGAAAGGTGTGTGCCTTTCATGTTGGCAGATTCCTCACCACTCCTTGTCTTGCTTTTTTTCCTTCATTTACTTATTTTACTTGCTTTGCCCTCTTGAGCATTTGTGTTTGAAATCCCTGCTTAATAGTAAAAATTGGGATGGTTTTTGTTATATATGTCGTATATTAAAATACAATACCCATATTTTATCTTGAGACAACTTATGGTGAGGCATTTGCTCTCATATTTATCTTAATATTATGGTCTGTCCTTCCTTCCTTCCTTCCTTCCTTCCTTCCTTCCTTCCTTCCTTCCTTCCTTCCTTCCTTCCTTCCTTCCTTTCTTTTTTCACTAACATTTTATTTCCTCTTTGGATTCCTACTTATTTAATTCTTCATGGCCTCTAGGCCAGAGGTGGCTCTGAATGAGAGGAGGAAAGGGCCTTTCTTGAAGCTGCTTTTTTTTCTTTTTGGTAGATTTCTTAGAGATGCTTAAGAAAAGGATGCAGGTTTGCTTCTCTGACTCCTTGTCCCTTGGCAAAGAGAGCGAAGTGCTGTGGCTAGAAGGTGCAGGAAGTGTTAGTGTTGGGGCAGGTAGTGGCATTTGGGCTGCTCAGAGGACGTAGTAGGCAAGTTGCTTTCCTCCTCTGGGCCTCGGTTTCCTTATCTATAAAACACAACTGACGATACTTCACCTAATTTGTGTGAGGGTTTGATAAAGTATCTGGTGAGGTGCCCGGTGCAGAATCGAAATCCAGAACATACAGGTTTCTGTTTCCCTTCATTTCATTCTTCTCAGAAACTGGGATTGAATACAGACACTACCAGTGATATCAAAGTATATGAAAGGATTTCTGATGAGAATGTCAGAGAAAGGTTGCAATAAAAATGTGCTCTTCCAACAAAAGCTCTCTAAAACCACCATGCAGCGTCAATATGCCTTACGTATGAATTCGTTAATGTATGCATGTGTGCTCCTGTATGCAGCATTGGTGTGTGTGTGAGCATGTTTTTGTGTGTGGCACACATACATGCAGCATTTGTGTGTGGATAAATGTGTGTGTGTGCAAGTATGTGTGTGTGTGCGTGCACCCAGAAGGAAACTGCTGGGGGAAAGAGAGTACATTGCACTAGATATTTGATGGTAACCCTTATTCAGTATATAGTAACTCACGGTTTATAAAATAAAGTCCATTTATGATGTTGGTCTTATCTTCTAATTAAAATCATAGGCATGAAGCTTCTTTATACCTGCATAAAGTAAGCAGTTTAATTTCTCTGTACTAGGGGAAAAATGATTTCATTGCCTGTTTCGTAGCCCATCAGCACGTGGTGGGAAGCAAGTCAGGGTGGTGATGAAAGCTTCATTCTTCCTCAGTGTATTTGTCCTCTCAGACTTCACGAGGAGAATGGATGCATCTTCTGAGGTGTTCTCAAGGGCAGCAGGGGTGCTTTTATCTGCTGCCCCTACCCCTTCACATTGCCAAGGGAGGTGAAGCTATTTTGTCTATGAAAAATCCACCTCAGAACGTTTCCCCTGGATTGTTCACGTATGAATGAAAAAAAAATATTATACTGCACCCATTCCTTAAAAATCTGCTGATAACTAGTAATAACTTATTTCAATGAAGCCAAAGCAAATATTTGAGAAAAAGAAAGTAAGCTTGTCTTGGAAGCTGTAAGGAGTAAAAGAGGAAAAGGACTATGAATCTTTGCAGTTAAAGGGATTGACTCTGTTTTAAAGCTTACTTTATAACAGTAATATATGCTATGGGTAACATTTTTAAAATCCTGCTATTTAATAATTTTATTTTATATGGTTTGGGAATGGTTTTTGGCTTTATTTTGTACTTGGGGCCCTGTGGTTCAGACCATGTGTAGAAGTAGCCCTATTGACTGATGGCAGTAGCGCCAAAGACAGGAAAAACTGGTAAGAAGGAATAAGCTCATTTGCTCAGTCACTTCAGCAAACATGAGGAACTCAAAGAAGCTGGGTCTTGCTGGATAATAAAGGTCAAAAGGGCTGTGGTGCTGATGAAGCCAGAGACAAAAGCAGCGGGCAGAGTTTGCTAGGCCGTTTTAAGGATTTTAGAATATAGGAAGATCAATGATAAGCCATCGGATGGTTTTATGTAGGGGGATGTTGGAATCAGATTTGTATTATAGGATAGTTGTTCTGGCCACAGTGTGACAAAGTGGATAGGGGGCAAGTGGGGACAGCACTGAAATTGGCTAGGGGTGTTTTATAGTAATCCAGTGTAGAGATTATCACGTTCTGGACTATGGCAGTTACAATGGCAGGAAGAGAATGGATCTGATTTTAGAGCTAATTAATCGGTAAAATACACGGGTACTTTCAGAGGCAAGTGGGAAAGCGGAGTCAAGGATGAATCTCAGGTTCTTGGCTTTATATCAAAGCATTGGTGGAAACATGAAGTGAGCCAGGCAGGACACGGTGGGCAAGGGATAGGACTGGGATCAGGGACATTGTGGGGCATGGTGAGTTTGAGGTGTTTGTGGACATCCAAATAGAAGATTCTGCCAGGAAGCTGAGTCTGAGACTGAGAGGAGACCTCATGTCCGGATTGAATTTTTGAGTTGTCCCCAGAAAGATGGTAATTGAAAAAAATAAAGCTTGGAAGAAGTCACTGAGGAACAGTGCATTGAATAAAAAGAAAAGAGGGTCTACCCTGAGGGTTTAGCAATGATCGTTATTATAAGGAGATCAGAGAAGGTTGAGGATTCAAAACAGATGAAAAGGAAGACAAGACAAACTTGATGTTATGGAAGCCCCTGGAAGGGAATGCTGAAAGGAGGATGGAATTGCCATTGCTATCGAACACTGTCAGGAGTTCAACTGCGGGAAAGGTCCGAGCTTCTAAGTGTCTGTTGGATTAAATACTGGAAAGTCAGTCACAGGGTTAGTGAGATCAGTGTCTTCGAGGTACTGTAAGTAGAAGCCAATCTGCGCTGATGGGAGGGGGCTTTTACGTTAAGTACTGAAAGGTCAATGATAATTAGAGCGATCACTTGTAAGACTGTATGTTATGCCAAGTATCAAAGCCATTTTCGGATATCATGCTACTCAATTATTGTTGTGGAAACTGAGGCCTCTAGAGTTAAGTAGGTTTCCAAGGTGACCCAAGATGAACAGAGAAGCGTTGAGTTTGAATCTGCTCCCTTGGATGCCAAAGCCTTTCTACTACACCATTCTGTCCCTTTGGCTTAGGGATGATGCACTTTATTGAGCAGCAGTCTTTGCCCCAGGGGCCTTTGGGGATATGGGCTTTGGGAAAGTATCTAGAACAAAGGGATCATTGAAACCACTTAAGTCAATTAAATCACTCAAACAATTCATTCAGAAAGAACAAAACAAACAGTGGGATAAGAGGGAGATCCTTTTCACTGACTAAAGGGCAGGTAAGAACAATGGTGATGAAGAGTGCCCTGGAGAATTGAGGGAGGGGGAGGGGCAGAGGGCTTGTGTGGTGGTCTCAAGGTCAGGGTACAGAGGGCGATAAGAATAGGCTCTCGCTACTTAAAAGATGAACATCAACAATGAAACTACCTATAAGACGGAGATCACAAAATGAAGCCTCATTTGTATGCAGACCTAACCATGCATAATATTCTAGCTCCATTCAGCAACGAAGGACTAAATCAGGGAAAAAATGCCAATATTTCATATAGAGACCCACATGCCCCTTTCTGTGCTGTGATATACAAGTACAGATGACTTTATATTTATGCTTTAATTTCTTGTATTTATTCTCTCATGCTAACTCCATCTGTATTTTCTCTCCTCTCCTTTCTTTAGATCATGCTTCTTAGTGATCCTGAAATGGAGAGCAGCATATTAATCAGCTCAGATGAGGGGGCCACGTATCAGAAATACCGGCTCACTTTCTACATCCAGAGCCTGCTCTTCCATCCCAAGCAGGAGGACTGGGTGCTGGCATACAGTCTGGATCAAAAGGTGAACAAACACTGTCTTTATTCAGATCTTGTCACCCAGGTACCACCTGGTGAAAAGCACTTGTTTACTTAGTCCAGATGTTGGAGGGGATTCAGTGACGTTTCATCATTCCAACCGGGTTCATTTTGTCTGCAGCAACGAACTTTCCTTTCGGCTCTTTAGTATCAAACTATGCAGGCAGGTCTATTATTGGCAGTGCTTTGCATCATTTCATAGGCTTAAGATGGTTTCCTCTATAATTTTACTCATTTGACCTTTAAAACAACCCCGTGAAGCAAGTAGGAAAAGTGTATTCATAGTAATTTTATAGTGATTTGTAGTAAACGAAGGTGCTGAAGGGCTAAGATGTTTGTTCAAGCCTGCCCAGCTGGTAGTTGGAAGAGCCACAGTTGGAATGAATGTTGTCAGATTCCAAGTCTAGGGAATGTTCCAGCATACCATGCTGTGTTGATTTGGTAAAATTTTTTCTAGTTTTTCAAAGGAAGGGAAGTCTCGAACATGTACATTTTGTTGTTTTCTAAAAGTATCTTCAAGATATAATGACCCAATAAGTCCTCCTCTTCGAGCTCACAATCCATTTATCCAGCTGTGTACTTGACCTTGTCTCTTGTACGTCTCAGAAGACTCTTGATTCAATGTATTCCAAAAATGGACTTCTGGTCTCCCTCCAGCATAGCTGGTTCTCTTCCAGTCTTCCCTAATTTTATCTATTTGGTTGCAAAAGTCAGAGACCTAGGAGGTATCTTTAATACTTCCTCATTCCTAACCTAGCATCTCTAACCTATCATTCTATCGCCATCTCGTAATTCCATGGACTTCTGTTACCACCACCACTCAAATCTAGGTTATATCTGTCATTCGAGTGACGACCAGAGCCTCTTCCAGTGTGTTTATACTGTAACCTGAACAATCTATTTCCCAAATGTAGATCTTAGGATTTCCGCATTTTCTCCTTGTTCACAGAAAAAAGACCACAGTCCTCTGTAGAATCTACTAGGACCTCCTTAGCTGGTCCCTCCTCCGACTTCACTCACCATTACCATGTTCCCTTGAATGTCCTTCTTTCAGTTCTTCATCCCAGCTGTCTTCCTGGCTCCATTCCTGGGCCTAAATCTTCTTCCCTGAAGTCAACTTTGTCGCTGTCAGATCACAGATCTAGTATTACTTCCTCAGGACGTCTTCCCTAAACTCCCTGACAAAGTTAGATGCTCTGTGGTGTTCTTTCCCATAGTGCCATCCACTTCCCCTCCAGAGGGCCTGTCATGGGTGAGATTTTATGTTGACTTATGTGATCTTTGGATTATCTGTGTTCCTCACCAGACTACAAGCTCCAGGAGGGCAGGGCCATGTCCGGTTTTGCTCATGGATGTAGCACCAGGGCTAGCACAGTGCCTGGTACTTAAAAGGTGCTCAGTAAATATCTGTGAGGTGAACAAATTAGTGGATGGATGCATAAATGCTATGGTAAGCCTGCTGTAGCTGATCAACTTATACTTAAGAAAAGGGAGTTTAGATTATTCTTCTTTGTATTTCCTTAGTATAGAACCTTAGTACAGTGCTTGATGCCAAACTATTAGGTAATCATGTTGTGGAATCAATCAGTGAAATAAATTAGATAAAATAGATAATTATAAGCACTGCCTTGTGTAGCGATATCCACAGATTAACCTTAATTGAAATAGCTTCACTACTTCTCTTCTCTCTTAAATCCTGAGACAGTTGCTACTCAGTATATATTTGAATATGTGATTTTAAATGTGAGTGTGTGTGTGTGAGAGAGAGAGAAAGAGAGAGAGAGAGAGAGAGAGAGAGAGATGTCAGCACCTTTAAACAATAATTTCAGCATAACCTTTATATCTCTCATTAATGGAGCCTCATGGTGGGTGCCAGGTGCTTAATGCAATCCCCTAAGGACAGCCACATGACATTTGCAAAGCAAAAGCCGTTGCAAATACATTTCTTTCATGGCATCAAGTGGATATTGTGTGAAAGACTTAGCCAAATGTCAGGTAGTCTGTGAGTTTGGATGCTTCGTATTGCTATGAATTTTGAAGCTATATTGAAAAAAAATAAATTTTTTGGCTATCTTTAAAGGCTGGATGGTAATTTACTTAGACGACACTCAGAAAACCTAAACTATGTTTTTATTTATACAGAGACAAGCTAGATTAGACATCTCATGCCAAGAGGTTGATAAACCAAAAGCGGAATGCCTTGGGTGTATCTAGAAGGAGGATCCCTTTCCCTCATCTCCATAGCACTGAGAACATCCGGGGCATTGCTCATGAAGTAGTCTAGTGGATATAATGCATTCACAATACTTTCAGGCTTGGTGGCTGCTTTTTTACATAGTAAAAATATGTGGAAATGTGGCAGTGGGTATTGATGGATTTTCCTAATCACACTGCACATTTCTGGATGTATTATTCCTTAGGTACTCTTTCTTATTGACGTCTTTTGCATAAAGTGGCTGAATGTTCTTCAGGCCCATAAAGTTTCTAACTGGTACCCTGCCATTCTTTTAAATAAATGGTCTGAGGAGGCAGATGATGCCCCTGGCAACTTTTGCAGAGCTGGCATAAAACACCTAGCCTCCATCATCCAGGGTTTAGAAGAGTTTTTCTTTAATTTATTGGTTTAGAGTCAGGGAGAGGGATGCTATGCAGCAGTGGATGGAGAGTTGAGATTGATATACAAATGTCTTATTTCAGACTGAAACCTTCTCTGATGTGCATGCATTGAGGCATCTGGTTTCTTCTAGAGAAAATGAAAAGTGTGAGTAGGAAGGTAACTGCAGCATCAAAGGGAGATGTTTGTGGTGAGGAGTGAATCGATGTTTCCATTATTGTGCCTTTGATGAAATGCACTAGCAATTTCTTTAGAATCGGTAAGGCTATCTCGTTATGTTGTGTGTATTACAAAAGACCTAATTGAATGATATTTTAAAGGGACAATATCCAATTGCTTTACCTTCCAAATTGCTACCTCAAAGCTGCAGGAGACTTGCCAAGAGATCTCCCTTGGTGAAGCCACTGCTGGAGAATTAAGGAAATACATTCTGGATAGAACAAAATTGCAGGTAGAAATTGAGACATGCGCATAACTTTGTGTTGGTTGAGACGCTGGATGGCAGGTTGTGAGTCAGCTAGGAAACGTGGCTACCTTGTACTGGTCAAGGCCAGGTTGTGGGAGATCACCCAAGCCTCCCAACTTCCAAAGCTGCAAAGGGGGGGGGGAGGTAGGGACAAATGCACCTTGCACTTGACCCTTTGGAGGGCCATGGCTCTCCAATTTTGATGTGTCACAATATAGCAGAGTTATTCTGTTTCCTGTTCAGCTTGACCTGGGCTTTTGACCAAGTCCTTCAGTTCTGGCCATCCTAGGAGCTTCCCGATTCCTGCTCCTCTTCTGTCCTACAGATTCTCCTGGCACTTTGCATTTTAATATAAAAGAACTCAGTACTTACTGAAGACGAGAGATTCTTTCTTGGGTATATGAATCTTGGAAATGCTTTATAAGAATCTTTGTGAAACAACTGGCAAAAGTAATAGGTTATGGTTGATCAAATTGGAATAATAAAAGAAAAGCTACTCCTCTCTTCTCTGAATCAAAGCCCTAGAACGTCTTTGGAAGGCTGTATATTTACAGTTATTTAAGAGGCCAGATTCTCTTTTGTTTCCATCAGACTGTGGCCTCACTGATGACTGAAACTACATTGTGATGTTTTGGATTAGCTGGAGGGCTCAATATTATTATTCAAACTGAGATTTTTAAAAAAAGACTTCGAGGTAGGTTTTGAGGATATTACAGTCCTCTAAATGGATAGTTGTTGTTCTCGTTGCTGTAGAAAGCTGGATTTTTAAACATCCTTCATTTTGACAAGAGACTTGGTTTGATTTTTTGTTTGTTTGTTTTTGTATTTTTTAAAGTGGGCACATGCTCACGTATTCACAGATGCATACATCCTGGCACAGGGGTCTTCCGCAGGAGACAGTTGAAAACAGCTATTTTTCTGCAGGAGAGGTAGAGTTACAAAAGTCTCTATTATCATTTATCTTTTAGGCAAAATGAAACTTTAACAGATACAGCTGGCTTTGGAGATCAGAGATGAGGAACTCCGTGGGATTTCAGATTCTGTGGTTTTTCATACGCTTCCAGCCTACACTGGTCTAGAATTAACAATATTTTCAACATAAAAAAACACTTTCTGAAACACTAGCACACATAATGAAGGATTGCTTTTCTAGTAGTTGGGCGGAGTGGGCCACTATGTATGTTTTTTTGTTGATTTGTTTTTTTTGTTTTTAATCCCCTGCTACCAGCCAAGTTCAATAGTAGCTGACAGATTGACAGGCTGGTTAAGGAGCTGCTGCAGTTTTGGGCATGGTCACTGGCCAAATAGAGTCCACAGCTGAAGAAGTGATGGTGCCTCCATGCAGGCTTTGCTGGTTGAACCCTATCTGGGGCTGCTGTGTCCTGCATGAACAGGGCACTGGCAAATTAGAGTATCTGGACTGTGGAGGGCCTGAAAATTCAAAAGGAAGTTTCGGGAACGCTGGATACAAATGACGCTGTTCCTTTCATTTGTATTCTCCCGTAAACCCTCAGATTAGAAATGTAATTGTATTCAGAGCACCAGGATTAGCAGGTGATGACAACGTTCCTCAGTAGCCATTGGCAGAAACAGGCTTTATAGCTCCCACCTGGTGGGGATAAAGCTGCTGGGGATTAACTAGGGATGACCGTGGTTTTGAAGTGTATCCTCCATGGAATGAGAGTACTAATGAAGGGCACCTTCTATTTAAAGAAAAACATTGCACAGGCACCTGGGTGGCTCAGTCGTTAAGCGCCTGCCTTCGGCTCAGGTCATGGTCCCAGGATCCTGGGATCAAGCCCCGCCCCGCATTGGGCTCCCTGCTTGGCGGGAAGCCTGCTTCTCCCTCGCTCACTCCCCCTGCCTGTGTTCCCTCTCTCGCTGTGTCTCTCTCTGTCAAATAAAT